TTATTATTATGAACTTAGCTATCCACTAAAAGTCAACATTTTGTTGGCCAGTCTCAGCCAAATTTTTACCAAGTCTTTGAAAACTGATGTATTGGAGGGAGAAGAATGAAATTACAAACTCTGCATGGATAATGGAACAGTGTATCAAAATTTAAAAAGTTTATTTATGATGGCAAAAGTAGGTATAATATCAGGGATTTTTCTCTATTTCCAGGTCACAACAATAATTAAATTTGTATTTAATTGCAAGCAAAAAACCACAAGTATTGCTAGGATATTACTGACCCAGCTTGTCCGGCTAAGATGCAGGCAGTAATCAGGCATTTTTGGAATGTTTTCTATTATTCGTCTGAGGGGGGGGTGACCAAACACTTTGAAGTGCCTGGATGGCAACTCCTTCTGCGTCCTTCCTCTGTGGTCGGAGACTCGGAGCTACTGCCAAGTGCAAAATGAGGGCAAACCTTTCCTTCTCCCAAAATTATATTCTGATTTAATGTTGCATTATTTTTGTGTTTGCATTTTTTACACAACACTCCTTTATAAATAACTGGGAAGTGAAAGCATAGATCTTACAGCTGTTGAATGTTGAATTAATGAAAATGATTCAACAATTCAACAAAGTAGGTATGTTTAGTACATGAGCAGGGGTTAGGAACTAGTGACATGACTTTAAACTTTTGATTTGAAAATCAGTTAGATTGATGCAAGTAACATCTGTACGGAAACATGCCTCAACTGCAAGCAAGCTGAGGGGGCAGATGGAAGGAGACATAAGTACTGGAATTGTTACTGGTGCCAAGATTCAATTTCATCAAATTTGTGAGTGCATTTCCAGTCATAAATACCGGATGCTAAAACCAATAAGGTCGGTCCTTCAATCAGTCTTGGCAGAGAGCCAATAGTGGGAGATATCATAATACAAGAGAGAACCTGACGCCAAAATTATACGGACCTTTACTTCAAAACCCCGAGTTACATTCAACTACAAACATGAGAGTGTGGATTGTGGAGTGAGTTAAGGCAGTTATTAGCAAAGCATTGCTGAGAATGAATGCGCTTTTGTGAGAAATGGAAAAGAAACATTCATTAATGTGTTGTGAACTGACACTTCATTAAAATGACTGGCTCAATAACTGCCATCACAAACGTGAAAGATTTGCAACCGCAGAATAGCGAGACTTGCCGCCATGTGGTTGTAATTTCAGAAAGGAAAGCTGATAGGAGAGCTTAATCTATTCCAGAGTCCTAGCTATTATAGGAAAGGTTAGATTATGACAATGTTGCTATTAGTTATACCTAGCCCACTGCATTGTAACCTCCATGTCTGTAATTTGGTTCAGACATGCTAAATTGATAACATCAGTGCAGTTGATGTCTGTACAGTCAAATCTTGGAAGTTTATCATCTGGTTGATTTCTAAGTTTCTTCAAATGGGAATGAGAGCTTCTCCAATCAATCAATTTTTAAAATTGTACCTTTCATTATCTTTTCCATACGTTTTAGACAAAAGGAAAATACATCAAAAGGATGACTCCACTATTTAGTTCAGAGATTCAATTAAAATTGTAAGCCATAAAAATTTCTTTAATGCGTTTATAGATACAATATGTACAATGTTTCCATCACAAGCCTGTTTTACAGTTTGGTTAACTTCCCCATTTATCTTCCAATGCAATGACACAAAGACTGGTATAAATTTTATGATTCACCACTGCTGACAGATTTATAGACTTGAGAGCGTCATAGATACTGAGAGACGGTATGGACGTGAACTGGATTTCTGTAATAGTCCATTAACTGTGGGTGATATGTATCAACGGTGACTGTTTCTCCTAGTATACAAAATCTATCAAGGTATTTGTGTCATAGGAGAGACCCCTCAGCCTACAGTCGTACCATGAACATGTATGCTGGTATAGGGGAAATGCACAGTTCTGCAATCAATATACTTTATCACCTCAACCATATCCATTCATTAATGATGCACAGCCCAGGCATTTTTCTATTTGGGTATAGTCAACTCTCCTTATAACAAAGTTACAGGGACCAGACAGATTACTTATAACCAGGACTTTGTTATAAAAGATGTTGAAAAACAAAGAAAATGTAAGACTTCAGGAAAGTGGCCAGAGTTCTCAGAATTTGCTTTTTTCATAACAGTATTTGGTTTTAACAGTATTCTTTAATCTAATCACCGCACTGCGTGATATATTTATACCATACACATTGTGCATTCTTTGTACTTCTTTGGACAAGTGGACTATGCACACAAGCCAAAGAGGTAAGTTCTGAACCTATCAAAACAATGCGGAACCAGGAGTGGGAACTTGGTACACTTGGCCTAACCCAATCTCCCATCCTGATATGATCCTGTGACCCCGTAAACTGACCTTTTATGACTTTGACATTGATCGGAACAATGACACCAGTCAACCGGAAGATTAAAAGGTGCCGACAAGGCCACGACTCTAATGGCACCAAGTTTGCTTTCTCTCAGACAGACTTGCTTAAC